AGTATTAAACTAGCTGCTTAGTTTTGAGAATTTAGATTTTAGGTATTCGTTGTACCCAGTAAATATTTTTGAGTTTTGAATTTTGATTCTCAAGCTGTTTTAATAAATGTAGATAAATCGACACTAACGCCTCAAAGGCGGGCAAGATTGTAACAATCGGTTGTAAACATGAGCAGTTTCGAGCATAAACATGATATTGAACGAGTAATTTAACGCATCTGATTGGCTACTAAATTCGGGAAGCCAGTTAAGTGCCTGTAAGTGTATTTGTTACAATTCCGATCAACTCTGCCAGTCTGCCGTTGTGACTGCTGAACCTATTAAAACTCCGCCCGTTTCCTTGCTGAATTTTCGGATAAATCTCATCCAAATAAAACAATTTTTTCGGCGGAATCCGACGATCCGATCCCCACTAACTAAACTTACAATTCGGTGTTAGGTTTAAAAATTGACGTGTATTATACTATTATTCTATACATAATTTTATAGGTGAAACTCTAAAAGAAAAGCCGTACAGCTGCATATGACATTCCGGTTAAAAAATTAGAACGCTGACTTTTCGCGTTCTCTTTTCTTTTTTTTGTCGTAAACAACTCCATATAGGGAAGTTTGTTCCATATATGGAGAAAGACGTGGAAACAGATTTTTAAAAATGCTGATTTTCAAAAAATTACCAAAATCTTTATAGAGATATATAAAATTGTTCACAATTTTAGCACTTTTTGAGCACTATTTTGAGATTTTGAGCACTTTTTGAGCACTTTTTAGCCCTTTTTGCCAGAACTTTTTTGGATTTTACCAGCGCAATCGGGAAAGGCCTAAATAATAGTGCATTTCGATATGCGTACGTACTCGACCAAGTATTTGGGAATCTATGCTCTTTACACGTACTCGACTTCAAAAGTAAACGGCTGTACGATTTGTTAGCTTACTGGACCAAAAGTAAACGGCTGTACGCATTATTGTAACGCATATTGTGTGTACTCTATCTAGTTTATAGTCAAAATATCCATCACATGTATCTAAACTATCAAACTTTATAATTCCATCGAAATACTGGTCTACAGTCTGCGGCTGCCGGAAGTATTTTTACAATACTACGTGCCCGGCAGTCAGGAAACAGCACACTGGGCCGAAGGATAAACCGAAAATTCACTTCTCTCCATGACAAGCTTTAATGTTCAGTCGATCCCGGCTACATTGAAAGATGAGTACTTGGCTATTTTTGGGCAGGGGTAACGAAATATATCGGCTGTTCTCTAGTACAGTAAGTGTTTCTTTATGTGTTGCCCAATCGGAATATAATATAACTACATAAGCTTGATGGATGTAAGATAACGAGTTTCACAATCCCATTTTAAATGCTATGGCTTTTGGCAGTTTTGCATCATATGTGTTTTTCAGTAAAAGCACCATTTTCCTACTTCCCCAACATGTAAATTCGCGAAAACTCTTTATTAATAATAACAAAAATTTGTAATAGTAAACAGTGTATTTTATTATAAAGTATTTTCGTTTTTCTACTGCTCCGTACTTCGTGTGCTCCGTGCTCCGTGTGCTCCGTACTCCGTGCTCCGTGCTCCGTGTTTTACTAATAGCCCAATGTTCGCGATCGAACCTCGCGTGCGGCGGTTCAAAAAACGTCCAGAATACCGCTTGGAACAAAACAAGTTTACATTATCTTCTTTTGAAACATCACATCCAAGTATCGTTTTGGCTTTTAGAACTCTTTTTATGCTTTCAACTAAAGCAAAGTTCACACTTTTGTTCCAAAAAAGAGTTCCATATAAAAACACAACGTTCGGTTGTTTGAAGTCACACGAGTTTTAGTTTACATATATACGAAGAACGTAACCCCCGGAAATAAAACCCTAGGGAGCCACCTTAATAAATTCCTGATTACAATTACTTGTTCTAAAATGTAATTAAGTACAATGAAAATATTACTGCGGAAAAAAGGAATTAATTACAAATTCCTTTACCGGCAAATTGTTACTATATATATTATAAGACAATATCTTAAACAGTAGTTGTAAATAAAAACGGTATAAACTATGAAATTTACAAGAATTTATCAAGATGAGATTTCAATATATTAAAACAATTGACATGCAAATCGAAGCATGTAAACTTAAAACTTTATTTGCCAATATTTGGCGCTCTGAGCCTCGGAACAAATTGTGGTTTCCACTTTCGCAATAAATAGTACTTCATGTAGGCTATCATGTCATGTGATCTCGTTGAAAATTATTTCAGCCATTTTTCTGAATTTTTGTCGTAACGTTGTATTTTTTATTTCTTATTTTTAACAAAATAAGAAAAGGAATTTTCAATTTGCTCCTTGGAAAAGGAACACGTTCCTTGCTTTTGTAATTAATTACGTTTTTCGTTACATTTCTAAAAACGTAATTAATTACAGGTTAAAATTACTTCAAATGTAACGAGTACACAGTAACGCGTTACAATTGTAACGAGTATTTACAGCCCTGAGTAATAGCCTCCTGTTATTTGCGGTGCAATGGTTTTAAGGCGCCTCTGATGCTTGACACTTATACATTTTAATTTTACAGAATATTTTCAGTTATTGTGTTCTCATGCAGTATTCTCCAATGTCATAGTCATATGTTATAGGTACTATATCACAATAGTACCACCACAACTTGTCAGCCTCAACTGCCTATTCAACTATGATTTATTTGTTTCACTTTTTCGGTGTTAGCGACTGTTGACCACTACACCTTCCTCACTGACCTCGCCTATGATAAACCTTCCTCACGGGCAATGCCCGCATGCCCGCAGCTTTTTTGCAACTCTGCATGTAGAAACCCTCCCTTTAATTTTCCAGAAAAAACCCTATATTTCCCAAACATGAAGTATTTGAAGTAGTTGTCATGGTAATACTATCACTTAATTCTTTTTATATATGTTTTAAATTGAAAAAAGCCGGCCTGAAATTATAACTTTTAATCTGAAAAATAATCAATTTCTCAAATATATATACGATACATGTATTTATTATAAATTTCAATTTAATGTAAATTTCAGCCACATTACGCTTCGCAAAACGTTTTAAAAAGTTCATAAAACTGAACTGGCTTTTACTAAACTGAGAGGCAATTTAAAATGACAGAAGATGAAAAATGACATTGAAAATGACAGAAGAAGCGAACGGTAGCGAAGCAGAAAACACGCCGAACACAGCCTCGGCATGTCAACCATTATTGCCAGCGGGCTTGGCCATGCCCATTAAAAACCGAAGGAAACCTTGCCTCAAATTGGAAGAAGTTCAAGCGATCTTGGGATAACTATGCTATAGTGGCAAGACTTAACCGATTTGAAGATGAATTAAAAACAGCAACGTTCCTTTCTTGCATCGGCGAGGACGCAATGGAAATTTTTGAGGGCTTACCACACCCTAACAACGTGCTAGCCACGCCCTTTTGTCGGCAAAAAGTTGTCTTGCACCCCCCGAAAGGGATAGTTTTCGCTCCGCCCCTGGGTGAAACAAACGAAACCTATGAAAGATTCGTTTTCAACAGCAGACAAAAGAATGAAAACGAAACAGTCGACCAATACGTAACAGCACTACGAACATTGGCACAATCTTGTAATTTCTGCAATTGTTTACGAGATTCTTTGATACGCGATCGCCTGGTCATAGGAATCAACGATAATGCAACTCAAAAAAAGCTATTGCAAGATCGAAAACTCACCTTGACAAAAGCCATCGAAATCTGTCGCAGTAGCGAGACCACGAAGAAACAAGTCAAGAAAATCCAGGCGAACAGCGAAGCAAATGAGGGCGCACAGGAACCCGAAGCACAGGAACCGGAAGACGCGAAGACAGGCGTATCGGACTTGATCGGCGTGACGGGGGACGTGACAACAAAATTAAATGCAAATATTGTGGAACAATGCACCAACGAAAAAAGGAATTATGTCCTGCATTTGGAAGCCGCTGCCGGAATTGTGGTCGCGAAAATCACTTCGCCAAAGTGTGTATACAGAAAGGAAGATATTCCCTCCAAAAGCCACTTCATGCAGTAACTGAAAATGACTTAAGTGATTCAGGCGACTCCCTTATGACTGTCGGACTAGACCCCACCGAGAATGATACCATCAATACAATACACCAACCGGACATTTACAAATCGCGGATTTTTGCTACCATGAAAATAAAAGGGGGGAACACAACCAAATTTCAAATCGATACAGGGGCAACCTGCAATGTCCTAAAAAGGAGTGAATTAAAAGGCACTAAATATGGACGGCGCATCAAACCTACGGCACATGTTCTAAAGATGTACAAAAACTCATCACTCACACCCCTTGGAAAGTGAAAAATACAAGTACAAGACCCAACTACAAAGCAAAAGTTCAAAGTACCATTCACTGTTGTTGATGACCAGAATGCAAAAAGTAACCTTCTTGGCTGCCGCACCGTGCAACAAATGAATTTGATTCAAATTGGGAGCCCAATTCATGTCGATCAAATTAATGAAAACCTGACTTGGCCTGATCAAATGGGACTGACAATGAAAAACGTCAAATACACATACCAAAATGTTTTTGAAGGTCTTGGCACCTTAGGCCCAGCACTGCATCTTGAAGTTGACCCTGAAATGTCGCCTGTCCAACTCCCACCAATAAAAATCCCAGAGTCGCTGAAGCAACCATTGCGAGAACATTTGGACGAACTTGTTAAGCTTGAGGTCATAAAACGTGTAGACTATCCAACAGACTGGGTCAGCGCAATTGTTGTTGCACCAAAACCCAATGGCAAAATTAGATTATGCCTCGATCCCAGACCACTCAATAAAGCGCTGAAACGATGCCACCATCCAATACCGACAATTGACGACGTCCTTCCAGAACTGTCCAATGCAAAGGTCTTTACCAAAGTTGACTGAAGCAAAGGATATTGGCAAGTAGAATTAGACGAAGAATCGTCTCTTTTAACGACGTTCAACACTCCATTTGGACGATTTAAATGGCAACGGATGCCTTACGGGATCTCCCCTGCAGGAGAGATTTTCCAGCAACGACTAGACCAGGCAATTGATGACTTGGATGGTGTACGGACTGTTGCTGATGACATTTTAGCAATAGGAAATGGAGAGACGATGCGGAAAGCTGTAGCTGACCATGACAGAAAGCTCAAGGAACTATTCGACCGTTGCAGAGCTAAACATATCAAGCTTAACCCAAACAAGATTGAGTTGAAGAAGACCTCAATGCCATATATTGGCCACATTCTTACCTCTGACGGTGTCCAAGCGGATCCTGCTAAAGTACAAGCCATACTAGAAATGAAGCAACCCATAGACGTGGCTCGAGTCAGGAGAATCCTCGGAACAGTTCATTATCTCGCCAAGTTCCTTCCTATCTGAACCACTACGACAACTCACAAGAAAGAATCAGCCTTTCGATTGGGACAAATCGCATGACGCCACTTTCACCCAAATAAAGAAATTGATTGCATAACCGCCAGTCCTCAAGTACTACGAGTCGACCAAACCCCTGATAATACACTGTGACGCTAGCGACCACGGCCTGGGGGCCACACTCATTCAAGAGGGAAAGCCTGTCGCATTTGCAAGCCGAGTATTGACGCACGCGGAGAAACAATACGCTCAGATAGAAAAGGAACTGTTAGAAATCAACGAAATACTAAATTGTGAAACAACAACCATATTCCAAGATCACACAACGAAAGTTCAAGACCTACAGCAAGTCAAATCATTCATCCAGGCAGGATGGCCCGAAAGCTCCAAAGATCTATCTCCAACAATCACCCCGTACTTCCATTTACGAGACGAATTAACAACACAAATGGGCCTCGTGTTTAGAGGAGACCGCGACGTTATCCCAAAATCACTACGAAAGCAAGTACTGAATGAATTGCATGCAGCACACCAAGGGATCGCATCGACAAGTCGGCGAGCCAGAGAAACCGTCTACTGGCCACACCTGAACCAAGAATTGAAAGACCACAACTCACATTGCATCACCTGTGACACATTCAATTCCAAGCAGCCGAAAGAACCTCTCATCCCGCATGAAATACCAAAGAGAGCATGGGCAAAAATCGGTTGTGATATCTTTAAATTTGAAAAGAAATCGTATTTAGTAACAGTGGACAGTATACTACTCGAACTTCTTCGAAGTTGAACAATTGGCATCACATGCAGTCATAAAGAAACTAAAGCCCCATTTCGCCAGGTTCGGTATTCCAAATACTCTCGTGACAGACAACGGCCCACAATTGATCAGTGATGACTTTCGAGACTTCTCCATGAAGTACCAATTTGAGCATATAACGACCAGTCCCTATCACCACCAATCCAACGGCAAAGCCGAATCTGCCGTCAAGCAAGCCAAACGAATAATTCGAACATGAAAATCATCCTGAAACGATGACATTTACCTTGCCCACCGAAACAACCCCCCAACAACCTATGAAACAAGCCCCGCACAACGACTGTTTGACGGCCGTACAAAGACTCGCTTGCCCGTCTCGGAGAAGTTGCTCCAACCGAAGATAAATCCGCAAACAAACAAACGCATCCAACAAAGACAACAGCTCCAAAAGAAATACCACGATCGTGGCGCAAAAGAGCTCAGCCCGTTGCGGAAAGGAGAAGTGGTGAGACTACAGCCAACCCGAATCGGCGAAAAGAAATGGAAGAGAGGGATAGTCGTACGCAAAGCCGGGATAAGACCATATGAAGTCCAATGCAAAGGGTATACCTATACTAGAAACAGAAAATTCATCCGACGATCAAGGTTACCTGCAGAATTCGGTAGTGACAACGTAGATGAAGAGATGTCAGACATGTCCGAAGCGGAAGAGAACGTTTCTGTACCTACTGACAATGATCTGCCCCAAGAAAACCCTCAACCAGCACACTTAGAACGCAATGAAACAAGTACCGAAACAAGTTCTACAAGCAAAACCCGTAGTGACCTGACAGGCTAGGTATAGACACATAATTAATGGAACGCGTTATATACGGTATATTTATAAAGAAAAAACTTTCAGAGAAGAGGAGATGTTGGATATTTACTGTTGACATTAATATTTTAGTTATATTTGCTCGGACAGGGGAAACTGGGAACGAAGGAAAAGGGCGCGAAAATAGGTGTAGGACACGGGATTTTAGAGGAAGAGTATATACATGTTATGAGTTTACATTATACAAATTATACTATAAGAAATAAAACTATCAAAAGTTAATGAAGTGAGAAGCAAATGACAGATAACGCTTACAGAGACCTTGATAATAATCGTTGTTATTATGCATAGTAGTTGGTAAAGGCAATTTGGTCGGCTAAGGGCTCACAGTTAAATCGCGCAATCACGCAACCTACAGGAAATTCAGTTTTCTGCTAGCAGATGAGCCTGCGATGATTAGCATGCAAGCGATATCTATTTAACACAAACAAATGTATAGTATACAATTATTGAATTCGGTTTTTGCGTAAATTATCAAGGTCTCGGTAAGCGTTATCAGCCTCGCCTTCAGCTCGGCTGATAACGCTTACCTCGCGACCTTGATAATTCCGCATATCACAAAAACCTCATCCAATAATTGTTATATGCAATTCTCTCATGAAAATAACTTTCTTTGCTCTTAATTTAAAGAGTTTTAATATCCTAAACGGTAAATTATGAAAACAATGCACTGAATACATTGTCATTAATTTTTTATTATACACAAAACAAACAATTAAAATACAACAATTAGTTTTATAAAAGCAATTATAAAGGTTTTACAACTTCCAGCAATGCATTGCCCCTGGCCCTGATCTTTTGTATAAAGCGAAATAAATAAAATTTTCGGCTGCTCGTCCCATTAAACGATTATTCGAGTTTCTCGTCGATGGTTTTTTTTCGAATCTCACTCATTCGACTGAGCCACTCCTGAAAATCGGGGTAATTACGTGGGAGTTGGGATATTACCAACCTACTTTACTACTACTTTACGATTAGTGTTCAACTGAAAGAATACAAAGAAATATCGTAACACCCATGTGAAAATGAAATTTCATGATCTCGTAACAGACAGGAGCGACTTGGGCCAGAGCGACTTGGGCCAAGTTAAAGGGATAAATGTGCAGTAACGCAATCAAGTTAACAAATAAAAACACTGCATGCATGCATGATAGAAAACACGTGATCGCGTTGCGGCGCCGGCTAGATTCCTATCCAGTTTTTTTAACTGTACATGGTCCAATTATAAGGAGATATTATGTGTGACCGTGTGAAGAGAAAATTTAATCGATCTCATATAAATTTGTCAGAGGAATCTAACTTCAAAGTGTTAAAGCTCATAAAATCAATCATGCATGCGTGTGATAAATTATGCGCCAAGGGAGCGCGTTGGACTTTACTACATCAAAATGTTTGGTACTTTGATCGTTGATAAATCCTGTATATAAAATATCTGGTAAACAACGGCATACAGCATACAACCTACCGTTAATTCCGGAATAACTTCTGTTAAAGTTGTTTGTATTAATAGGAACAGTATTCTTGACATCGGTACCATGAAACAATCTCATCTCGTTTTCTCGTCCTTCCATCGACTTCTTCTTCGCCTGGTATAGTTCAAACATTTTAGGATTTTGGATCCTTTCAATTTTTGTAACTTTAGGTGGTGTTCCTACGGCAAAAGCGTTTTTGAAATGGGTTAAGATTTCTTTGTACTCAGATGACGATGATAATAGTGTAGCAAGGTGAAATGATTTGCCCATTGGTTGTTCATCCCAAAACGATGGGAGGTTATCTAAATAATAACAAAATAATTAATGTATCCTTTTATTAATATACATACATGTCTAATCGATTCTTCAGTTACCTCCCTTAACAATGCATCTTAAACTGAACGATTTTTTAATAACTACCTTCCAAGAGGGCACTCGGAGACTGTGTAGCCCCGCCATGTGATACATGCATAAATTATATATTGCGCTAACTATGATTCAATTTACCCTGCCAGGTAAAGCAAGAGAAACGGCTGCTAGTCTTCAATCAATTTTAACAAAAATTTAATCAATTTGTCCCTGAGCAAAGTCCATTAGGGTTCCACAAATTTTCGTTCCAAAAATATGTTTGATAGTTTTTAAATGATTTTTGGCGTATCCTGTGGAACAGTATAGTCGCCATATGCTGTCGACAAGAGGTTTAGATGTATGTATGTATGTATGAAGTATAAAGGAACACGCATTAACACATTGCAGTGTCATCACTTGGCTAAGTTCCTCTTAAACCAATAAATAGTTCAATTGGGTCTCCAACGTATGAAATCTCCAAATGTTTGGCACGCATTCTAAAATACTTGTACAATGAAGTTTACACATATAATAGTTTTGTTTGTAGAAACACCACGTAAATTTATTACTGCAAAGCTTTCGTTCCGTAAGCCCGGATCTTCATCAGTGCTAATAATATGTGACTTGTTTAATTCACACACCCTTTTTATATACAAAAGTGTCGTGATCTGTTGGCTCGCGTCATTTGAAATTTAATTAAACGGCACATCAACACGACACTTTTGTATATAAAAAGGGCGTGTGAATTAAACAAGTCACATATTATTAGCACTGATGAAGATCCAGGCTTACGGATCGAAAGCTTTGCAGTAATAAATTCACGTGGTGTTTCCAAAAACAAAACTATTATATGTTTTATCGCCATGCAAACATACAAAGAACTTATGAAGTTTACACAGTTAGGAACTCTAAAGAATTTGCCAGTTGTATTTTCAATTAAAAAATAGAACCTATAATGAGCGTATCGTCTCATTTGACGTAACTTCTTTATTTACATTTATCTCCGTTGATTTGGCACTCCAGATTGTTAAAGAAGAGCTAAACAATAGACAAATTAAACTTCATATAGATAAATACATAGTAAAGTAATACCTTCGTCAGAAACGAGACATGGCCAAATGATGAAGCCCAGTGGAAAGGATGCCCAGTAGAATTTATTGAGTCTTTGTACGTTGTACCTGATTTTATTTTATGTATATAGTGGCAACTGAAGTATTATTGTTTTTGTTACAGTATATTTTCATGTTAAAAGTGTTTCAATTCTATAAAAGGTAGCAACATACCTGACCAACTTCGCTGATCAATTTCGTATTTTCTACGTATTTCTGTAAATTGCACTAAGAATTCTTGAACATCACTTTTCATTCCTTGCACAGCCAGATGTCCAGCGGAGGAGGATTTTATGCGTACTCGATAAATCCGTGATAATTTATCCACTTCGGATTTGTGTTTTTGAAAAATATCCCCGATGTTTTCAACCGATCTTTCGTCCTTGTTACGATCCACAAACACTTTCGTTTCTGAAATAGCATCATCGATGTTTTTCTTAAAACCAATAAAATGCAGTTGAATTTCCTCCACTGTTCCAGCAGCATTAGAATTATCGGCATCTTGTGAATCAACATTGATGGTAAATGAGTTATTATTAACTTCATTGTTAACAGCCTGTGTTTCGGTGTTGCCGCTATTTTGTTGCCCATGTTGCGAGCCAGCAACCGTGGCAAGCTCTTCGACTTGATCCTCAATTGCCTTATTGAAATCAGGAAAAAACTTCTTCAAGAAAACCACGATTTCCACTGTGAGTGAATTCTGGGTCTCCGAAAACTTCTTGGCAGCTTTTAGAATAAGATCTGCTGAGCTCTTTGGCGAGATGTTAAGATTTGCGGTTCCGATTGCAGGAATCAGGATGTGATAAAGGGAATGCTGCTGTGCTGAATGAAAACATTGCTCTATGGAAGCTTGAAGACCTGCTACGTCAGTTGTAGTCGGAACAAAATGAATGATTTTCTTTATATTGGGAATGGAACCAGCAGATGTTATTAATATGGAACCGAGGTTACTGTCTCTACGAATTTGATCCAGTTCATCTTGAATGATCTGGCTTCCTGTCTTTAGTATACTTTGACACACACCTCCTCCATCTAACAGCTTCAGAGATTTCGGTAGGACGTTTAAAATAGCATCTGCTGTCTGCTTCGTTATGTCCCCTTCCTTGAGAACGATGCTCACAGATCCAAACTTGAGATTAGCCGTGTTTCCAGGTTTGATAGATATTGTATCTGTTGGAGTTGCTTGTTGTGGCGACAAGGGCTGAAGTGCTTGCTGTAATTGTGGTTTTAGTTGTTGCGGTGTTTCCTGCGGTCTCGATTTATGGTTCAACATGTTTGGTGGAGAAGGAAAATACGAAGAATGTCGACCACGCTTTCCACTATAATTTGACTGCTTGTCTTCAAAGACAATCACAGAAACATTTCTCAAGGCAATTTTGCTGACATATTTGGAACTTATTCTGTCTACTTCTTGTAAGATTATTTTGAGAACAATATCTTCAGGATAGCCGTGCTTTCCGGCCCCGATGGTTGGCATAGCTATTGAAGAAACACCAAGCTCAACGCATTTTCCGAATATCTTCATGACGAGATCTCTGAGGGCCTAAAGAAATAGAAAAGTTATTGATTTGAACTCCGTCCCTAATTAGTATATATCGTGCCTGATTATTGCCCGAATTTATAAATAATATTTACAGCTTGAGCAGATGTGTTGTAAGCAACATAAAAAAATATGACTCAGCAATATTTTACAGCATCTATTCACAAAATCAATCTATTCGCGAGCGATTTCCTGGGCGGAAAGCATATTCTTCTGATGAATATACGAGCCCAACAAAATACTTTAATTAAAATACACATATGTTATTTACCGGCTGCGAGGTCCGTACTGAAAAATGTTTTTTCGAGGTCTCAGAAGCGGCCCTAGGCCGAAGGCCGAGGGAATATTTTTTAGTACGGACCGATCCAAATGGTAAATAACGTGTTCATTTTTTAATTGATGGTTCATGGTTACGAAATTCCGATAAAATTCCAGTTGCGAAGTACATTTGAGATCAGTTGCGTTTGTTACTTTAGTACAATCATGGTTGACATCATCAACCTCAACTAAAGGAGAAGCTATAATTATTGTTTCATTACAACGATACATTGAAAACAGCGACAAGAGAAATTCTTCAGCGAAACGTTTTCTGACCGTCCATTAATTAAATAGAGAATAATACATGGGTGCGCGGAAATACCAGATTTATTTCGAGTGTTGAACATGATATCTCACGAGTGAGCGCAGCGAACGAGTGAGATATCATGTTCAACACGAGAAATAAATCTGGTATTTCCAAGCACCCATGTATTTTTCTGTTTATTATATAAAGGACAGTCTTTGAAAAGCGATAATATTTAAAGAAAAGCGATAATTAAAAACCGATAATTTTCACATGTGAGATTATCATAAATAATCTCACATGTGAGATTATCACTTTTATCAGTGCTCGAAATCTCTATAAAGCACTATACTTTATATAATGAGATCGTGGGTTCGATTCTCGCTACGGACTCGTGTGAAAAGAGTCAGTCTACGCTCTGCCCAAAGTCGTGGGTTTTCTCCGGGCGCTGCGGTTTCCTCCCACGGAGAAAGTTGTCAGGGTGGGTTACGATAAACACAGTTAACAAAGTAATCACAGTTGTTGTAAAGATAAATAGTCTAGGCCAAGTAAATAACATAAGTAAGCATAATACTTGATGTTGTAATCGGTCACTGAAAAGCCCCAATGGGGAGTGAGCTGAGTAATAATTAATGTAATATACACACAACATATATCAGTTCATGCACGAGTCCAAGAGACAAAGGAAACAAAGCAAGTTAGGTAACTGTCTGGCCAAAACGTTAACCCGCACAAAATTAAGTATATTAATTATTAATTAAGTAATATGCTAAATCAGCTCATTAAGCATTTTCTTCTTCGTGAGTTACTTTTTGTTTCATGACTTCAGCTGAAATCGAAAATTCTTTTTTCACAGCTTCGTCTATTTAGCTGAATAATCCCCGAGCCCACGGCGCGAAGCGCCGTGCGAGGGTATTAATCCCCCCCGGCTATTTACACCCGGGGAAACGAAAGCATTAGCGAAGTCTAAAGTTCATCAATGATCGTGGGCGTGGGTCACCAATGGTGTTCGAGTGTTGGGTGTGTGGTCATCCTCACTGATCTCAAATTTATTGCGGACTGTCATGAATAGCGGACACTCATTGGTCCAATTTAAAGTTTGCATTATAACGACTGCATGACGACAGCGAAATAGCAAACAATTCTTGATTTGATGATTGATAAATTTCTTGCAAATATATTTCATTTTTGGTCGCATTTTTGCAAGATTTTGTAAATTTCAAACGCATTCTCAGAAAGAAAGGGAGAAAGAATCGGCTAAAAGAAGGGAGCCTACGCTAACGAAGGTAAGTTTGCCAGTTTAAATATTGATTTTATAATTGCTTTAAAACCCGATGGCCTTTGCCGTATATGAAACGACTAAACAAGACAGCATATAATTTTAGTGTATCTTTAATATTGATTTCCTTTTTTATTATATTGGATTTTTTAAATAAAAAAGAAAGTAAATTTATCTGCATGCGAGAATTTGAAATCATTTCATTACAAACTCAAAGTTTATCGATAAAGCCATTTAATTAAAGGCAGTTTAGTTTTATAAAGAACATTTTAAAGCGTTTTGCGAAGCGTTTTTTGTTGAATTTTACCTTAAATTGTAGCCTGTGTAGCAGGCGATATTCGCGGGCACGAGAGAATGGGAAGCTAGAAATACCGCCTGCCCAAAAACTACACATTCTGAGTTCTCCCCGGCAGCTGGGTGCCGGAGCATTCTGATTGGTCAGAATGTTGATTTTCAATTTTTGATTGACAGGAGTAAAGAATTAGAATAATTAGTGTTAATTTTAGAAGTTACTGTTGCCGTATTTATAATATAAACTATTGTTATTTTCGTAATTGATACCGATATATCGAGTGATGGCATACACTAACCAAAAAATAACGAATGTATTAATTGAGAATTAAGCTTTGAATTCTCTAATCTTTATCTGGAATCGGAAATCGCTTCGTCTTGAAGAATGAACAACGAATATCAATCCAACATTTGTTGCTTGATAGATGTGATACCGTGATAAAAGTGCAGATTTTTGAAGATACAGGCTCGTAAATGACACTCTAAGTAGTGTTTTTGATAGCGATTGGAACAAGACTATTACAAAGTTACGTCCGAAGGGGCCGAAGTTATGTTCGGCGAAAGGTATGGCTAGCCTAAATTTTTGTTCAGACAATTGCGTAATTTGATAGAGGGTCCTGAAGGGGTAAAATGGGAACTGGGATTGATCTAATTTTAGACTGGGAAAATGGGATTTGGGTTGCTGGGACTGGGATTTGGCCACAGGGAATGGGAAATGAAGTCCTCAAAAATGGGAATGGGATTGAGGTAATGCGAGTCGATTCCCAATTTGTCTACATTTTAAGTGTGTCAAAATATAATTTTGATCCGTTTTCGGTGTCTTTGGTCATGATTTTTGTTGTTAACTATATTATTCACAGCCCTACCTGCGAACAGGCATACTCTGGCGCCCGGAATTCTGGGTTTTCTGATTATGCGTGTCTCAGAATGCTGCAAATGCCATTTCCAGGATTCAAATTTAAAAATTTTCTGTGCCTTCGGCACGAGCCCCCTCAGTATTTCATAAAAGGTCCACCACTTGCACACACGGTGGCTTAAAAGGTCTTAAAACTGTTTATTCTACCGATAAATAAAGGGTTTTTTATTGACTGGGATTTCAATAACTCGGACTGGGATTTCTAATAAAAATCCAACTGGGACTGGGATTTTGCCAAAATTTCAGGTGGGAAATGGGATTGGGACCCCCCCCCCCGAACTCGCTTGATTTTCAAAGCTCATAAATCGCTGTAATGTTCACATCGACTAAAACTATCGCTATGAATGAGGACATATTGTTACACTAAATCGAACGTGGTATTTTTGTCTTCATAGCATTGAATGAACCGAAGATATGAAACATCAAAGCCGTATATTTGCACTGGTGCAAATATGTGAGTTTACGTTTGACAAATAATTAAAATAAATACATTAAGATGGGCGGGACCATGCGGTGGGCGGAACTCAGAATGTGTAGTTTTTGGGCAACCTCGTACCCAGGGCCTTTGCGCGGTTCAGAGGCTCTGGTACAGGAAGCAACCAGAGCCTCTGAACCGCGCAAAGGCCCTGGGTACGAGGTTGGGTTTTGGGCAGGCGATATTTCTAGCTTCTACCGCCTGCTACGCAGGCTATAACATACCTAACATATATATGTTGGGAAATTGATAATTTTGTAATCAAAAGTGATATTTTGGCGATTTTTAGTTTGTAAGAATATTCTTAAAAAATTATCGTGTTACCATGACAACTGCTTTTGATACTTTATGATCGGAAAATAGTACAAAATACAATGGTTTTGTCAGCAAGGCGAGGGTTTCTGCATGCATGTATTTTCTAGTAATTAATGTAATATACACACGACATATATCAGTTCATGCACGAGGGCAGGAGACAAAGGAACTACAAAGCAAGTTAGGTAACTGACTGGCCAAAACGTTATATAACCTGCACAAAATTAAGTATATTAATCCCCGAGCCGACGGCGCGAAGCGCTGTGCGAGGGTACTAATTCCCCCCGGCTACTTACACCCGGGGAAACGCAAGCATTAGCGAAGTCTAAAGTTCATCAATTATCGCGCGCGTGGGTCACCAACGATGTTGGGGGTGTTGGGTGGGTGGTCATCCTCACTGCTCTCAAAAATATGGCGCACTATCATGAATAGCGGACACTGATTGGTCCAATTTAAGGGGCGGACCATTTGACTTTTGAGGGGGGGGGGGGTGGAAGATTCAGTCCGTGCAAGAATTTTTTTCCGCCCAGGCGAACAAGACAGATATTTTTTTCCTGTAAAAGTGCAGCGCAAGATATTTTTTTCCCAATATATTTGGCGGCAGGATATTTTTTTGCCTCTCATAATAACGGCTTACAGTAACTTAAGGCTTTCATATAGCTATCATCAGAGACGTAGCAGGGGTTTTCAGTCAGAGGAGGCCGAGAACTGAATCCAAAGAGGGGCCAAGGAATTTTCACTGTGCTTTATTTTATATGGTTATGTCTTAATGTTCGCCACACTAAAGCGTGCAGGTTTACTTACAAAAAACGTATAACTGCACCAAAACCTAAAACATGCATGGATAGAGTAGAGTACTCGAAAATGGGGGGAGGGTACAGTATATGAATAACCTGTTACCTCGGGGGGTTCGGGGGCATGCTCCCCCGAGAAAATTTTAAAATTTGAACCTCGGAAATGCTATTTCCTGCGTTTACAGCCATGGATTCGTCCACGACAACTTTGCTGTACTAAGCCTAAGGAACACTTACTGTCGTTTATTTTAAACAAGGGAAAATCACAAAATGAGCTTTGATTAATATGTAATAAAACAAGATTTCAATAATGCAATTTTTAACTGCCCTCCGAAACAACAATGTTCCACCAAATATAGCTCTGTATTTGTATTTGTATTAAAACTTTATTTAGAGACACTAGCCCCGTCAACGGTGCGTTGGTTTCCACGGGGGGCGTCTACAATGTTAAAAATTACAAAAGATATAAGGGAAAAGAAGACTATTTACAAATTGGTGTGACCCCAGATGTTATGGTTAGACGGAGTTACAATTTATTTAAAATATATATAGCTTTCCAATCGTTCATACAGATAGCTTGTTGGGAATCGGGTTGCATCCTCTTCAGAAATTGTTGTAAACTGGCATTTTCGCATTAAAATCATCGTATATACAGGACGTTCAACTTGCATCTGTAGATGGGCCTTTGAAGCTTTAATAGTTTGGAGCTATGTTCTCAAAAAACGCACACAGACTCAATCATCTCAAAATACTTTTTCTACCATGCATATTAGATATGTATAAATAACTTATAAACTTGTACATAATTATCTTAAGCCCAGATTTTCTCAGGGGGTGGGGCAACAATTTTGCCAGGGAACACCACTGGCTATCGTATGTCAGAGGCTCCAAAGGCGGTAGAATCCCTGTGATGTTATCCACTGTTCACCCCGTGTTCTTTTAAGCAAATGTGCCTGCTCAAAAACGCAAAATCTTGCAAGCCTGTGGACACAATACTGAAGTGAAGAGCATCAGTATAGTTACATGTAAAAATTTTTTTTTGAGCGCTCTCTTTTGCATGATATTTTTTTCTCGATTGTATGCTGCATGATCTTTTTTTCTTTCTCCTTGGGTTGCAGGAAATTTTTTTTCGAAATCTTCCACCCCCCTCCCTTCAAAAGTCAAATGGTCCACCCCTAAAGTTTGCATTATAGCAACTGCAGGACGACAGCGAAATAGCAAACATTTCTTGATTTGATGATTGATAAATTTCTTGCAAATATATTTCATTTTTGCTCGCATTTTTGCAAGATTTTGTAAATTTCAACAGCTCTCTCAGAAAGAAACTGCGAAAGAATCGGCTAAAAGAAGGGAGCCGACGTTTACGAAGGTATTAAGTTTGTTTTAAATATTGATTTTATAATGGCTTTACAGTTGATTTCACGAAACTTTGGCCGCGCCAGTTGCGAGGTTGGTTGGGAATTCAGGCCTTAAAATATCGGTCGGTCACGGACATTGTCCGACCCATTCGTGAAATTGTCCGACGTAGAGAGGAAACCACCGGACATTCTGTCCGACCAAAGTGAAACTGAGGTTTATTGTTTGTCCGACCCAAGTGAATTGGTGTCCGACCGAACTGTAGCTTTGTCCGACGTAAATTAAAATGTACCCTAGCCCAGGACTAGAGGCTTGTATGTTAGATGGAAAATCAGAGCACTATTGTATAAAAGGTGAACTGGAAATGTTGTTTTAACGTAGTCGAACGCGGGGCGGCGAGCGAAATGGTGAAATGGAAAACGGGCTTAAGTTGTCGAAGTCTTTTTTAACACTGCTGTTCTGGCAAGCAAGTTAATTTTGGCTTGGAAATAAGTATGAAAGAAACAAATTATTTAATATCTTTACAACATTTACCGTTTATTCATTTGTGTCATTCAGACTTATTTCCGAGTCAAAACTGAACTGAAGGTCATCGGACATATGTCCGACCCAAACTCAACGTCACCGGACATTTTGTCAGACGGCCCTGGAAAAGATATTTTAAGGCCTGGAATTTGGGAACTATAAACACAAGATCATCAAGTTGATCGGAAACCGGCCAATCAAATTCGGAAGTTTCGCATCAAATTATCGAAATTCGTTATGAAATTCCGAACCAAGTTCGCAAGCAAGTTCGCAAATTGCAAACGATTTTGGCGGTAAATTTTAAAAACTAAACTTATTGTATTAAACTTATTCATTTAATAATAAATAATATCATAATAATAATAATTTCAGGTTTAAAATTATAATAAGTTTAATAAAATAAGCTTAGTTTTTAAAATTTACCGCCAAAATCGTTTGCAATTTGCGAACTTGCTTGCGCACTTGGTTCGGAATTTCATAACGAATTTCGATAAATTGATGCGAAACTTCCGAATTTGATTAGCCGGTTTCCAATCAACTTGATGATCTCGTGTTTATAGTTCCCAAATGCCCAACCAAACTCGCAACTGGCGCGGCCAAAGTTTCGTGAAATCAACTGTAAAACCCGACGGCCTTTGCGTATATGAAACAAAATTTCAGTGTATCTTTAATATTGATTCCCTTTTTTATGATATTGAATTTTTTAAATAAAAAAGAAAGCAAAGTTATTTGCAAGCGAGAATTTGAAATCGTTTTATTGCAAACTCAAAGTTTATCGATAAAGCCATTTTAAAAGGCAGTTTAGTTTTAGGCTATAAAGAACACTAGTAACTTTAAAACGTTTTGCGAAGCGTTTGTGGTTGAAATTTACCTTAAAATGAAGTTTAATTACGTATAATAACATACCTATAAACAAATATATGTTGGGGAATTAATAATTTTGTAATTAAAAGTGATATTTTTAGGCTATTTTTCATTTGTAAGAATATTCTTAAAAAATTATCGTGTTACCATGACAACTACTTTAGATACTTCATGTTCGGAAAATACAATGGTTTTGTCAGCAAGGCGAGGGTTTCTGCATGCATGTATTTTCTAGTTATTAATTAAGTATGCAAAACTAGCTCATTAAGCATTTCCTTCTTCGTGAGTTACTTTTTGTTCCAGACTTCGGCTGAAATCGAAAATCCTTTTATTCACAGCTTCGTCTATTATTATAGATATTTACGTTACCATGCGTGGCCTGACACTGAGTATTGGGAATGTTTGACCAATGATGCATATTGAATGAAAATAGAGTCTGAATACGTAACAGTAACTAGCTGGCATTCTACATACCTCCTCACTTTTCACTTTGTCTTCTTTGTTCCAGTTACAGCACACGGCATGAATGACATGTTGACATGATAAGTTCCCACCAGTTGTACAAACGATATCCCACGGCGGAATATTGGTGTGGGGTTTGCATACTTCAATGTAAGACAGGCCACCTCGATTTTGAAGAGCTCTGCCACAGGCGGTCGGATAGTTAAGGTTGGACAAGGTAGAGTTCACCAAAACGTCCGCCTAAAACAAAACGAAAAATATACAATAGCATAATGTCATGTCTTACATATGGCAGAGCTCTAATAAAGCATGTTGATGAATTAAAAGTAGTCAATGGATAGTTCCATGGATTACTGATAATAACTTCTCAATCTGAATAGCACACAACACAACACAACACAACACAACACAACACAACACAACACAACACAACACAACACAACACAACACAAATTTATATAGAACCTCGCCAGGGCTTTTCAGGTCTAATTGCTGTGTGTTTAAAAAAATAGAATTAAAACGTTTATAATTAGTAAAAAATATATGTTTAAATATGAATATTAGAATGGTATAGTCAATTTTTAGTGATTGTTTGAAAGAGTTTAGTGGTGGTAAATGTGGTACTATACGCTCTATTTGACAAAGCGTGATAGCGTACTCCACAGGTTGATATAGCTCTGTATCTAAATGATCGTTAAATTGTGCTGAGCTCGTTCTACATTAGGGTATGTCAAGATTTTCGGTAGCAAGTGCCTACGACTATGAACGTCGGAACTTCTCTTTACAAATCTATTTCAGTACAATGGTACACTGTCATTGATAATCTTATATACCATTTGACCTCCCGGTATGCCAGCATGTCCTGCACCGGTAACCATCCAAAGTCTTTAATCGTAGATGAAATGTGATCAAATTTTCATTCCCATGCAAAAACAATCCTAGCTGCAAAATCTTGAACCAATTGTAGTTTCTTATTTAATATTCTCTTTGGACGCCCCCCCCCCCTCCCCCCACAGTCGAGTAATAGTTTGTTTCGAGTAAATGTTTGGCTCTGCTCTTCGGACATAATTAAGAAATCAATTTCGATACCGCGTCAGGTTGTCCTTTCCTGGGTTTTCTTCTCCCAGATGTGAAACGTTCGAAGTTTATTGCCCTCCGTGTGCCTATTTTAGCTAAGAAATCAATCTCCCTCCTCAACCTCCAACGTTCGGGGGGAAAGTTATGTCGTTTGTCCTCGTTGTTCTAGTGGCCCAGTTACATTCAAGGAAAATATTCTCGGCAATCTCGAGGGCAGAATTCTCGGGACGTCCAGTCCCTCTTTCGGGTCCTCTCTTGAAGGAAATTCTGCATTGGAGGTTCCTTGACTCTTGGAACGGGTTTCTGCCATGGCGCCCAGAGTTCCATGGCAGGTTGTACCTGGCCTCTGACGCGTCGAACACCGGTTGGGGAGGTGTCCTTCATTTTCCACGAGAGTTACCCACCAAAGTTCATGGTCTTTGGTCTGATGAAAAGCGAGCGATTCCTATTGCTCAGCACGAGTACTTCGCCCTAGAGAAAGTCTTGCTGGTGGCCCGACACAGTCGATCTTATGGCCATTCCTGCTAACGTGATGCGTTACTCGGCTGGTCGTCCGGTAATAAAAATTTTTACAACATCTTCCCTTTCGCGAGGCAGCGGGCGGCAATGTTTTTACGCTGGTGCTTGCTTCGGAGGACAATGTTTACGTGTTTCCACCATTTGTCCTTGTTGGTCCCCTGTTGCGTTTTCTCTCCACCAGGCATTGTGATGTCTCCTTTGTCGCCGCCGACATATGTCCTTGCCGATATTGATGGCCGATCCTGTGGGAACATGCGGTTGCCTCCGCCTGTTTGGGTGTGCAGGGCGAAACGGGGTCCTATTGTTTCCAGCTGCTACCCTTTCTTGTTTCTCTATGCGTTCCTTGCAGTGGGAACTCTGAGTCTTTCGCCTTTCCTTCCATTAAATCAAAGTCCAATCGTGTTGTGTATTTTTGTCCTATTGTTCTATGAACTGCGTGTGTTTCGCTCTCGTTTGGTCGTCCCAAATCACATCGCCCCTTTTTTGTGCCTCCATCATAGGTTTTTCCGGAGGTTCGTCGTCTCTGGAGGTGTCCTGATTGTACATATACCCGAACGAACAGGGGTTCTTATTTTGTCAACGATGTCGTTTCAACAAGGACATGGCTCCGTTGCCCGTTGCTTACCGTTTCCTTTCGGCGTCTCCTAGTGACATTGTCAAGTTCTTGATTTGGAAGGATCAACACGGTAAAACAGCTGTTCATGCTCCGCGTTGCCTCTTTTTTGGTAACCCACGTCTACGCGCACAGTGTTCGTGCCCAACACGTCTCGCGGCGATTGTATGTTGGAAATGTTGGAAAACTCCGTTCTATTTTCTCCTTTACGGGTTGCGTTGATCTGTCTGGTGACTCTCTCGCCTGCGGTAACACAGTCTCTCACCCTTTGGTTAAGTAGTATTTGGTTTCCATCCGCGAAGAGCAAGCGCAGGCCCGGGTATCTCCACGACAGGCTGTCCTGTTCCTTTTTAATAAAGTTATCTCTCTTTGTGCTCATCTACGTTGTCTCTCCCTCTCTGCCGATTCACGCCGATTAACGCCGATTACGAGATTTTTATATTGTAGAGACTTAGAGTTTTTTTGTTTGATTTTTACTCGGGTGACAGAGCTTTTATCTGGGTCGTGTTTGCACGAAGGAGATTCTTGCCCTTCCTGCACGATAGTTTTCTTTTTCGCCATATGTTTGGGAAGAGTCTGCGAGGGGGAAATTCGAATGTTTTTCCATTAAAGCATGTGAGAATCGAGTGATTTTTCCTGTGGCTAACCTTCGTTTGTATGTCAAGCTGGCTGATTTATACATATCCCACTGCGCGATGACTTTTTCTTTCGTACTGCCAACTCTTCTGGAGCTGTTAAATCGCGCCCGTTCCGGGGGTCCGCCGTGGCTAGCCACCTTCGTCTCCACCTGGTGACCCTCGGCATCGACGAGAGAGAGACCAATGCATAGTTTTCGAGCGGCTTGTTCGATTACTATTTCCTTACCTCAGAGCATCGCTGGAGGATGTCGCTCGACACGTTGGCTAGAGGAGTCTTGATACAGCAGCATATTACACTCTGGCTAAAAAGGTCATGGACACCGCCAAATTTGCGAGAAGGCTCAGTACTGGTACCTGACACCTATTAGGCCTACTTTGGGGGCCAAGGTCGCCTAATGCCTCCTAATTTCGCATAATGTCGCCTAATTTCGCATAATGTCGCCAAATGTCGCCCATGTCCACCCAATTTTTGAACTTTGCCTAACAGTCTATACGGCGTATACGCTTAATGTCGCCTAATTTCGCCTAATGTCGCCCAGATTCGCTCAGCGACGTATACTACTATTCTTTCAAAATTGCCAATGTCGCCTAATGTCGCACAATGCTGCGCATAATAATGGCGTCCTAATTGGAACCCAAAGTAGGCCTCCTGTTCTTATGCGCGTGACCCAGACCACGTTTACACGATACCGGACGAATTTGAGACCGGTCTGGAATTCGTCCTTTTTTGCCTGTTTACACGCGAATTCGTCCTGTTAGGGGGTCTCAAATTCGTCCGGTTCCGTGATTCTCGTGTGTTTACACGGCGGAAACGAACGAATTTCAGCCCGGTTCCAAACTCGTCCGGTACTGTACGGACGTCTCCTGGCTGCTCCTGAAATTGAGCACGGTATTAGATATGAATCAAGAAAATAAAACTAAAGGAAGCTTAATTCATAGTCTATCTTTTAACGATAAAAGAAGATTGATATGGACGACATCATTTGATGCTTTACAAGAGTTTGTAAAAGATGTTTCAAACTTATCAGGCGGTAAATGGTCTTCGCCTGGAGGCGATGCAAAGCTGTACCGAGACGAAAGTCAAGATATATCAATTCGATGGCATGCTAATACACAAACTATAAGTCTATAACTGTTAGCGGTGGTGAGAAGAAGAATATCGAAGTTAGGTTAATTTCACTGGCTTCGATATCTAATAAACTAGCAAATTCCGTTGTCAGTGAAGACACTAAAATTCCGGACGAAGTCGATCGTATTGAAATTGGCAATAAAAACGACGATATTTGCATACATAACAAAGAAGATTTAGAGACATATATCAAATCCCTCGATTGCCAAGTTAGATCGTTAGTGAAAGAATTTACAACAAACAAAACAAAACAACAGTTAACAAAACGCTACAAGATCATTCGAAAGTACTAAGTCAGCTCCAAAATCGAGAGACAAATAGTGAGTTGGATAGCCTAAGAAAAGAAAACCTTCAACTAAAAAAACTAAATGATGAGTTCTCTAAAAGAATTAGCAATCTTAGCTGTATTCTAGCAGATCTTCAAGACAAAGCAAAATCAGCAGAGGATGAAAAAGCCAGCTTACTGATGACGGCAATTAAACTATTGTACAAGGAGAACGAACGAAATCAAGAACAATCAAATGTCAATCAAGTAGATCAAATTAATTCAGAGGAACAACAGATCGAGGCAACAACATGACTATTAATAGTTTGATCGGAAAGGGTAAGAAACCCACGATTATAAATGAACTAATTATTAATGAACCTAAATTAACAAATCCTACAGAGATTGCAGAAGGGTTAAATGAATTCTTTGCAAATGTTGGACCAAACTTGGCAAGCAAGTTGGATGAATCTAGCTGTGACTTTCAAAAGTATACTAAAAGTTCTGAATCCGAGTTCACTGCATTTACACCAATTGCGGTAAACAAAATTTTTTATCTTTTAAGAGGGCTGTCTTGTAACAAAGCATGTGGTATTGACAAAATTTCCAGTAAAATTCTTAAATTAGCATCACCAGTTATTACTGCTACACTTACATATATTTTTAATCAAAGTATTACTCTTTGCAGCTTTCCAGATGAATGGAAAGTAGCTAGAGTTTTACCTCTTTATAAAAGTGGTCATCGTAATATTTCTGGTAATTACAGGCCAATATCGATACTACCAGTCATAAGCAAAATCATGGAAAGATTACTGTATGTCCAGCTGTATGATTATTAAACTATGAAAACGAAATTCTCTCTGATAACCAATTTGGCTTTCGAAAGTTTCACTCCACCGCTACGTCCCTTTTAGATTCAACAAATAGTTGGTATGTTAACATGGATCGAAAAATGTTTAACTTAGTAGTTTTTATAGATCTAAAAAAAGCATTTGACACCGTAGATCACGAAATTCTACTTGAGATGCAAATATACGGTATTAAGGATAAGGCACATTTGTTGTTGAGATCATATCTTACTGCCAATTGCAAGTAAATGGTGTTGTCTCGTCTGAACACAAAGTTAAGTGTGGTGTTCCTCAAGGCTCCATTTTAGGTCCTTTATTTTTCCTAATATACATAAATGATTTATCTGAAAGCCTAAATAGGACAAAGCCAAGACTTTTTGCAGATGACACAAACCTCACTGCTTCCGGTAGTACAATTGATGATGTTGAAAATGCAGTGAACTCTGATTTGGAAAACCTCAGAATGTAGTTAAACGCGAACAAACTGAGTCTAAACATTGCCAAAACTGAATTTATGCTCATAGGATCAAGATCTCTAGTGCATACTGTTTCAGATTCAAATTTAAACATAATGATTGAAAACAGACCAATTAAACAAGTGAAGGCATGCAAGACACTAGGAGTAATAGTTGATCAGCATCTCTCTTGGAAAAGTAACACTGAGAGTATCTGTAAGAAAATCACATCAGCCTTTTCTGTTATTAGAAAACTAAAAGAATTTGTTGACCATGATACACTTGTTTCTATATTTAACGCAATTGTACAACCATACTTTACTTATTGTTGTGAAGTGTGGGCCATTTTTTGTGAAACTCAATCACAACGATTACAAAAGCTTCAAAATAGATGCGCTCGAATTATTATGGACATGGGTAACGAAGTTAATGCCGAAATCGCATTAAATTCGTTAGGATGAGAGACACTAAAAGTACAAAGAACTAAAGCTAAGGCAAAATTAATGTTCAAAATTTTGAATATGTCTGGGCCTAAAAGTCTATCAGACCTTTTTACCTACAAGAATGAGAATACACATTACTGTCTCCGTGACAATGAAACAACACTCGTTTTGCCACAGTCCCGCAACAAATAGCATGAAAAAGAGTTTTATGTTTAATGGGGCAAAAATATGGAACTCAGTGCCTAAAGAAATCAGAGGAATTAGGTCCCAGTCTCTATTTGAAAGAAAAATTGCTGCTCATGTTACTAAATAATATATTTATACATACATATATATATCCTTTATTGTAAATAGTTATATATATGTTTTGTTAGTTGTCTATATTGTCAATTTTGTCAATTGGAACAGTTAGATTATTTCTATTTTCTTTTATTTGATTCCATAAGAGTCATAACAACACTTATATATAATAACTTTTGAACACACGCCCTTCGTGGAAATCAATGTTTTTAATTGACGTAGTTAGCGTGTCAAAATAAAATGTATCTAATTTCCGAATCTTTCATGGCATATGAAGCCACGAAGATGTTTGCTATCCGGAAGACGCAATAAATTATATAGATATTAATTAAAGGCGTTTTTTATTAGGCGCACCCAGAATATCAATCTATCATAATCAGAGGCCGCAGAAGCATTTAGATTGTGTAGTGGCATTGACGAAAGGGTCACTTTTGTATATGACCAAAATCAAACGATTTTATGTCGTTAACGAGCCGAAGGAAAATTTTTTAAAATATGGAGTCTCTATAACGCCGAAAATGGCCTTTACAGAGTCTTTACTACTGCAAAAAGGGCACTTTCTTTCCAGCAAAAGAGGGCGTGTTCATTCAATACATACTTTTTTCGATTTTAAATGGAGCGCTATATAAAGCCCAGATAAAAGGGCCCTTTTTTATTTAAAAAAAGGGGGGCACATACCCTCATTGCTCCTCTATTCCGCGGCCCCTGAATTCATAATTACATAAAATTAATAATGAAGTAATGTAATTAGTTTCACAACAATGCCATAATGGCTATATTGTGCGGCAGCAATTGTTTATGTTCACTAACGTTTCCACGTAATGAAAACGTCATTCATGCAGGCATGACAAATGTCACAAATTTATTCTTCGGTTGGTTTTCATAAACCATTTCTCAACTAGTATGTCTAGGTCCACACTGTCAGTAATATCTTTTTCGCTGTTTAGCAAAATTAAATTTTGTAAGCGATGATCCGACATGGAATTGCGCAAAGCGGTTTTCACAGTCTTTAGCTTGCTGAATGTTCTTTCAATCCTTTCATTTCCTACCACTGTCACTGGAGATGTCAGGGCGAGTCTGTAAACTTGACTGGTCAACGGGAAAATGTGTTTTCGCTTCTCAGCTTCTTTGGCAGCATCAGCCAATGACTGGATAGGATTTGTATTTCCTTCGTTCATAACCACATTAACAAAAACTTCGAATTCAGCAGTAAACGCAGCTTGGTCTGGTGCTTGAAGCGAGAATAAGTTGAGAAGATCTTTCACATCTTTTTCTTCATGATGGGAACTCAGCGGTGGTTGGAGGACTATGAAAAGTGCTTTCACCTTCTCCAAACTTGCATTTATATTGTCCTTGTACTGTGCGATTAGAATATCAAGAACTTCTTTAAATTCTCTGTCATAAAAGTTCATCATTGAAATTTCAGCGGCTGATTCTGGGTTATCATCCAAACGGCGTGGTCGACTGCGTGGCCGATGCAGCTTTGCAAATTCACCGGCAGCATCCACGTCCTTAACTGATAGCACGTCAGTTGAAGCTTGAATCTGATCATGATTTGCAATTCCCTCATCATCCTTTCTTATGTCCTGCAAAGATTTTACTGTATCATTCAACGCTTCCAAAGCATCAACGATATTCAAATCTTCTTTCTGAAGTGATTCCGTCAGAACCTTTGTTTTCCATGAACATTAAACTGATCACAAAGTCGACCCGGAGAACTTTAGCCAGCAGACTAGTTGCAGCAGCTTTTCCTTTCGCGTCAACAGAACCATCATTTGAAATTTTCCTTAGAACTTCGATCACGGCTTCATACGATATCCACATCGGTCGGAGAGATTCCGCTCGTGCTGTCCATCTTGTACATGTAAGAGAAAGGTTTCTTAGTATTAGCGAGTTCTCGACATTTTGAAGTACGTCATGCAAGACAGCATACCGCTTGGTACTGCCAGAGAAAAAGGAATATGTCGCTTGGAGAGTATCAAATAGCTCGGATACTATTGGACTAGCTTCACAAGCATGTTCATTGACGGTATTAGAACGATGGCCTTGGCATGGTATGTATGGTACCTCTCTGTCGAGTAACCATGAGACAACTGCTTGTGCACCATTGTATTTTCCAGACATACTGTTCGTGAAATCGTACGATTGAAAAGAGATGCTCTTGTTGTCTAATCCGTTTTGGTCTACTGATTGAATAATAGCGATGGCTTGATCTTCTCCGGTCTTTTCTCGAACTTCTTTCAGGTCAAGAAGACGCTCATGAACAGCTCCGTCGTGATCTACGTACCTGCAGATAACGCTCATTTGATCTTTATGGCTAACGTCAGGGTTGTGTCTGCCATTATGGAAAAAACTCCTGCGTCCGTGATGTCGTTGGTTATTTTTTCCTTTACTTCCATACCTAATAGAGAAAGGAACTCGTTCTGTGACTGTGGACTGGTGTAGGTAACTTTGTATGCTCTATTGTGTTTGTTGTCCATCCACTGTTTCAACTTTGGATAATGCTTTGACGTGAAGGAAAGAAGCTGGACAAAATTGCTATCAGCGTCCGATTGTGTGCCCCGAAAAGATATGCCTTGCCTTGCCATTGTACGACAAAGGTCAATAATCAGTTTTATAATAGCTCTGTTGTTTTCCTTATCTTCCTGCAACTGAACGGCTTTAGCGCGAACTTCCGTGTCAAGCAAAGAATCAACATGAGATTGAGAATTATTACTCATGAAGTGGACATAGTCTAGAAACGCTGCGTTGTGTGCCTTTGACGAGAAGTGTTCAGAAAGTTTTCCCGGATTCCCTGCTCCTCTGCTTTTCATCTTGTCCCATTTTCTAACTCCAGTGGAACACCAATTTTGCGTCGATCGTTCTCGATCTATACCTTTCGGGAACATTTGGCAAACAAAACAAAAAGCCGCATCCTTTTCAGTACTGTATTCCAAAAACGGATACTGCGAAAACCAGACAGCCGTGAAACGATTTTGTTTGCTGCTTGACGTGATATCTTCGTTTGGCGGATAATTGAAAAGTTTGGGTTGTTGCGGACCAATTTGAGCTAAATACAACCTTTGTCGCTTTGTCGTAATCAAAGGTCTAAGCCCTGGATCTTTCGAGACAGGATCGGGTAAATCACTTTCTGCCACGGGCACTTCTCCTTCGTTGTATTTCGCAAGATCCAGGTCCACGCTGTTTTGCAGCCTGATTGCCATTTTCTTACAAGAGATCGCTGCTTCTTTTGCATCAATTAAAAAGTTTTTGTGATTCGGAACAATACACCTCTCTATGTTTTTTTTCAAGTCTGCCATCTGACAGATAAGAGAGCCCATCTGACCAGCACATTGCACCCAATCGACTTCAGTTATCAACTCATCATCAGAATTGTCTGAAAATTCACATTCATCATCAGAGTTATCTCGTTCTTTCTCATTACGATTTTTTGTAGGCGTCGTGGCCTGGGGTCACATGCGGATTCGTCAAGCTCCATTAAGTCAGACACAATAGACATAGTCGTTGATCAGATCCTGTTGTCATGCAGTCATACGCGGAAGAAGTAGAGGATAAAACTGTTTCTTCAGAGTCTTCAGTCGCGGACGTAGAAGGGATGGTTTCCTGTACATCGTCTTCTTCAGGTGTTTGCACATTGGTAGTCGTGGTTTTTGTTTGCGCAGTGCTACCCGCTTTAGATTTGGCAGTCTGTGCCTGTTAGAAACCAAATTAATGACTGTATAAAATGCAAACAGTATGATCTACCCAAGCTGTCCAACCCAAGCTGTTGAGTCATTTAATGAATATTTATACTTATGATTTAAGTATAAATATCAATATATGTGTTGGCATGTCCATAATTTAAGATCAAACCTACCTGAAATGGGTTATCTGGTGCCCCCGCAACTTTGAAGCCAATATGTTTGTGTGCCTTCAAATGAGCGCTATGGCACAATTCGTTGTGTTTCTTTCGCTAGTCCGAATCAAATATAGCATGACAAACAAGACATTCTACCTTGAAGCGTTTCTTTTCCCCGAGCCGACGGCGCGAAGCGCCGTGCGAGGATACTAATTCTCCCCGGCTATTTACACCCGGGGAAACGCAAGCATTAGCGAAGTCTAAAGTTCATTAAATATCGCGGGCGTGACCAACGAACTTGAGTGGGTGGTCATTCTCACTGATCTCAAAAATATGGCTGATTGCTTGTGAAAGTGGGATTAGCAAAATTTCAATTTTAAAAGACATAAATTTGGAAAATCGTTTCATATACAACAAGCTTGAAGCAATTTTGTTTGAAGAAATGAGAAGAATTGATTTACTATGGGAAATCGTGAAATATACGGCAAGTTTTCTTTGAATATTTAATGTTTACGAATTTTGTTGCTTTAAGTGGCAGTCCCGCTAAGAGCGGTTCGATGACTTTGCCTTCGGAAAATAGATTTCCTTTATTTTTTGGGTGTTGAAAGGCATTGGTATACAAGTGTCCAAAATAAATTTATTTTTTGAAAATTCTTTTTATGGCTTCGCTAGACGCCGAAACTCATTTTACCCGTGCAGAGCTAATTTCAAGCAAAATCGAAGGTTGAATTTCGGAAAATTGTAGAGCCGCGCTGTGTCAAAACGCCTGACTATTTCCAAGTTTCAACTAGATCAACAAGTTAAGATACAATTCAGGTTCCCTGTTCCAAAAAATAAGAGCATTTGAATAAATTGTGAATAAACGACAGCGACTTGACGGCACACCGGTTTTTGCTTCTTGTTCGGTCTACAAAATTACACTAAAATCGAAGCTTGAGATCTCCAAATGGGGACCTAAAATTACGCTGAAATGTGCTTGGCTGTAATAATTTATACTTATTTTCAAAAGATCTGAAGAAAAACCTGCGGGTATCAATCTGTATTTGGCGCGAGTTAAGATTTTCTGGAGCCCATAATCAGTGATTTTGCATAATTTATAGCTAATTAACATATTTCTTGAGAGGCGCTAAAAGTAAACAATTTCTTTCTGACTAACATATCTCAGATGAAACAGACTACCACAGCTAGTAATACCCTCTTCGTAAATATAGTCGTAATGTTCTTTTCCTGACACGCTGAGAGAGCTTTGTTTTTGAATGTTATGCCACATTCATTCAGTCTGACCAGATTCATAAATGTCACGAACTTGTATATTTTAAAAATATGAGGGCCCCCTATACCTCTTCACAATATGCTTTCACGTAAAACTAATATTTTGCCTTTTCACGAGTCACAGATTAAGAAAATCATCGATCACATTTCATAAGCCCTTCACGCTTCACGCAAAACGTATAGGGGGCCCCATCACGTTTCACGGCGAAGTAAAATAAGCCCTTCACGCTTCACGCAAAAAGTATAGGGGGCCCTCAAATATCAGTACCAGAAATCAGAATTCAGAAAGACCGATTATTCTTTCCTTGATTCAGTTGATGGCCATTAGTTGATTGATTTAAAAAACTATAAGTATATAATAGAACATTCCATGTGTTTCCATTGCCCCTATATAGGGCTAGAATATTTATCAATATGTTCTATTTTTCTGTGGCGACGGCATATTAACAAAATACGACACAAAAATGTACATTCGAATTTATTGACCGACATATCAGAATGTTATTTATGAAGTTTGAATTGAATTTACTTAACGCGAAATAAATACTAAAATAGGAATTTTCTATGCTGGGTTAGTAAAAGAAAAAGCATAATTTTAATTGTATGTAATTTCGATGAATACTATAAAAAAATTATACGCATTGTTTTAATATATAAATTAGCTATAACATTTACATATTTATTACGATAGTAGCGACGTTTGTTTTAGCCAGTTATTTAACAAAAATATCAAACTTGTGTCTTGTGAATTTTAATTCACAAACTTTTGAAATTTATTCTCAGCTATGGAGCTCACGAATATTTTTTTTTTCAAAGAAAAATATTGAAATTCGATTATTTATAAAATTGATATTTTTGTTAAAAATGTTAGCTAATTTATATAAACAATGCGTATAATTTTTTTTATAGTATTCATCGAAGTTACATATAAAATTAAAATTATGCTTTTTCTTTTACTAACCCAGCATAGACTATGATTCCTATTTTAGTATTTATTTCGCGTTAAATAAATTCAATTCAAACTTCATAAATAACATTCTGATATGTCGGTCATAAATTCGAATGTACATTTTTGTGTCGTATTTTGTTAATATGCCGTCGCCACAGAAAAATAGAACATATTGATAAAAATTCTAGGCCTATATAGGGGCAATGGAAATACGTGTAATGTTCTATTATACTTATAGTTTTTTAAATCAATCAACTAAATCAATCAACTGAATCAATGAAAGAATAATCGGTCTTTCTGAATTCTGATTTCTGGTATATTTTTGAAATATACAAGTTCGTGACATTTATATGAATCTGGTCAGGGGACTGAATAAATGTGGCATAACATTAAAAAACAAAGCTCTCTCAGCGTGTCAGGAAAAGAACATTACGACTATAGTTACAAGAAGGGTATTACTAGCTGTGGTAGTTTCTTTCATCTGAGATATGTTAGTCAGAAAGAAATTGTTAACTTTTAGCGCCTCTCAATTAGAAATATGTTAATTAGCTATAAATTATGCAAAAATCATTGATTATGGGCTCCAGAAAATCTTAACTCGCGCCAAATACAGATTGATACCCGCAGGTTTTTCTTCAGATCTTCTGAAAATAAGTATAAATCATTACAGCCAAACACATTTCAGCGTGATTTTAGTTCCCCATTTGGAGATTTCAGGCTTCGAATTTAGTGCAATTTTGTAGACCGAACAAGAAGCAAAAACCGGTGTGCCATCAAGTTGCTGTCCTTTATTCACAATTTATTCAAATGTTCTTATTTTTTGGAACAGGGAACCTGAATTGTATCTTAACTTATTGATCTAGTTGAAATTTGGAAATAGTCAGGCGTTTTGACACAGCGCGGCTCTACAATTTACCGAAATTCAACCTTCGATTTTGCTTGAAATTAGCTCTGCACGGGTAAAATGAGTTTCGGCGTCTAGCGAAGCCATAAAAAAGAATTTTCAAAAAATAAATTTATTTTGGACACTTGTATACCAATGCCTTTCAACACACAAAAAATAAAGGAAATCTATTTTCCGAAGTCAAAGTCATCGGACCGCTCTTAGCGGGACTGCCACTTAACTTTTTGCCTAAAAACATGAACATTTTTCCTTTTCAACGAAGCTCTAAGTTTCATAAATTACCGTTTAATTTGAGAAAAAATCTTAGAATGTAAAGGCGAACAAATTGGTTTGACGACTGAACTGAAATTACCTAACAATTTGTTTTATTTGTATAATACCATAGTTGCCTCGAAATCCTTTGTCTCGCGAGATACGATTAATCACTAATTTACCTCATTACTCATGCATACGCTTTTGTCTTCTACATTTCCCTCATCAAGCATGCAAGGGAAAATTAGAAGACAAAGAAATCCTTTGTTTTCAACTAAATTTCCCCGGGAAATTCCAGTGAGTAGTAGTCATACGAGTTACACTGATTATCTCATTAATACTGACAAAAGGTTTCAATTCACGCAAACTAACAATGATCAAGTATTTTCAGTGTTAAACAAACTATGCAAATCAAAAGCAACTGGTCTTGATCAGATCTCAGCCAGACTTGTTTGAGAATGTGCTGATCTTATTTCTAGTTCCATAACCAATATTTTTAATCTTTCATTAACATTGGGTACATTTCCTGAAGATTGGAAATTAATGTGCCAAAGTTAATCCAATCTTTAAACAAGGTACACGGAATGAAATGAATAACTACAGCCCAATTTCTGTGATTTCATGCAGTAATGGCCAAGGCCTTTGAACGAATAATCTACAATCAACTTTATGCATAGATGTTAGAACATGATTTGCTATCCAAATGCCAGTCAGGGTTTCGTTCTTTGCATTCAACGGTTACGGCCTTATACTTGAGGCCACTGATAGTTGGACTTACAATATTGACCGCGGCAATTTCTGCCTGCGGTCTTCCAAATATGACTTAAACCATTTGTAGGCAACTCCGTGAATTCCATAGTTTCTGAGTTTAGACAACAAGATCTCATGGTTGACCGTATCGAAAGCCTTTTTCAGGTATTAACAGGCATTAAGTGCGGAATTCCTCAAGGAACGATCCTAGGACCGCTCCTGTTTCTGGTATTTATTCATGATTTACCAAATTGTTTATCTAATTCTCATCCCAGAATGTATGCAGATGACACTAATCTTGCATATTCTGGTAGCGATATAAACACTATTCAATTTCATCGAAACGAATACTTGGAAAACATTAATGAATGTTTAATTTACTATCAAATAAACTTACTTTAAATATGACTAAAACTGAGTCCATGTTAATTTGGTGAGACAACGTTTAAGTACTCTTCCTGACAATCCTTCTTTTGAAATAAATGGAATTCCTTTAGACCGAGTTTCGACAACAAAATCACTTGGTGTCTTATCAGACGAAAATCTTACTTGGAGTAGTCATATCAATAAAATGACAAAACGAATTGCTTCTGGTATCGGTGCTATTAAGCGGTTAAGGTAATTTGTTTCATTGGAAACATTGCATGTTATTTACCAAGCTCTAATACAACCACATTTTGAATGTAATGTCGTGTGAGGAGATTGTGGGAAAACTTTATCTAACAAACTTCAAAAACTTCCAAACCGTGTGTTATATGTTAAGTATAAGGCCGTAACCGTTGCATGCAAAGAACGAAACCCCGACTGGTATTTGGATAGCAAATCATGTTCTAACATCTATGCAGTAATAAATTTACGTGGTGTTTCCACAAAAAAAACAATTATTGTGCTACATTTGTTTATATTACGATCGGACTGTTATCGGAACAAATCACCTTTTGGTGTATGGGATTTAAGGTAAAAGACAACAACAGTGGTTTTGAATACGGACTCGATATAGAGTAAAAGATAGTTTGTAAACGGGTTGTTTTAAGTAAATAAAGTATCCAAGAGTTCAGTACAACAATGGCGACGAGTTCTCAGTGACAGCGGCTACGGCTACAAAAGGACCCAAGCTAAAAGTTTTACCCTTCGATCCTCACGGAGATCGGTTAGACCTGGGGAAACGATGGGAAAAGTGGTTCGAACGATTTGAGAGAGACCTCAAGTATAACGGATGTGACCCTAGTAAAACACCAGAAATAGCCAAAATGGCGCTGTTAATATACGCAGGCACCGAGGTGGAAGACCTGCACGACACTCTGCCAGAACCAAGCAGACCAGAAGGCACAGAGGAAGAAAACTGGACCGCGTATGAGCAATCTAAAACCAAATTGAAAATACATTTTTCACCAAAACAGTGCAACGACTTTGCTATCTTTGAATTACTCCGAATGAAAATCGAATAGTCAGAAAGTATTACAAGTTATGCGATGAGGCTGCGTAAAGCAGCGAGCAAGTGCGATTTTACAAATTGGTCGGCGGAGAAAATGATCAAAAGCCTGATCATCAGCAATATGCAAGATGACACCCTTCGCCTAAAATTTTTACAGAAGGACAGAACACTGGACCAAATCTTAGATATCGCTAGAAAGAAGGAAGATGCTGTGGCCCGAAGTAAAGTAATAGACAGGGACTCGCGACAGGTAGTCAACAAGGTGGGTGCCAAACGATATCAACCGTTACAACAGAAGGGGACCACAGATCAGTGCAATCGGTGTGGACACGAGAACCATTTCCCTGCTTCGGAGTGCTCAGCCATATCCAGAATCTGCAATTACTGTAAAAAGAAAGGACACTATGCCAGCAAGTGCTTCAAGAAACAAAAGGAAGCAGGAATCAAACGCATCGAAGCAGAACTGCAAACTGACACCGGAACCGACACCAACTCCGACACTGATGAGTACGACACAGCCAAGATCGAATTAGTTAACAATCTTGGGATGAGGGAAAAGCCATCGCTGATGAGAGTCCGCACTAACGACCAAGAAGTTCTGTGGCAACCGGATACCGGGACCCAAAAAGACGTCTGGGATGAGGCACACTTCCGCAGCTTTAAAGAAAAGACTCGGGGGGAAGTAAAGTTGACACCGACAAACATCAAGCTATTTGCATATGGGGGCAAGACACCACTGGCGGTCATCGGTTCATTCAAGACAGTGCTGACAGCTGGGGATCGGACAGTCGACACTGAGATATATGTGACATCTGAACCATCCGCCTATCCACTACTTTCCGAACAGTCAGCCAAACAGTCTC